AAACTTCCTAAATTTTACATAAATCATGTGGTCTTGAAATTGTCCTAAATCCATTCAGTATTTTAGTAGTGATTAAAAGAAAAATTTTTCTCCCTGTAACAAATGGCCAGTGCCTTTTGGATACTATAGTACTGCACAAGTGCTATATATCTGTATCTTAAAGTTTAAAAGACATGGATTTTTTTACCTCTGAATGATGAAATACCCAAGGGAGAGTTTTTTAGATGCTGAAGGGAACAAATTATGTCCTTGTGATATTTTATAGATAGCCTGTTAAGATTAGATTAAAACTGGTAACCTGTTGGTAAACTCCGGATAAATGTACAAAAATTACCTTTATGTGGTTTCAGCTACTGTAAATTTGGGAGCTTTATTCATGACTTTTTAAAATGAACATGCTTAATATGAATTTTGGTTTTGCATAATGAGAGAGTTCAGCATGCTATATTAAAGCTATACAGTTTCAATTTGTGTACTAAATTTGTGTGATGATACTACTTCAGAAAAACCATACGTGAATACTGTAATAACTACAGAAATTTTTTACTTTTTTGTTGTTAAAAAATCACTTGGATTGAAGGATAAAAATGCAGTCTGTCTCAATACTAAAAAAAATGTGATGTTTGGAAACAGACTCATGGCTGAGAGAGGTGCAAAGAACTGAATGACCTGAAGTATAAAAGGCAATGCAGAAAGGAAAATGTAGGGCAACCCATACAAGTAAAAAAGATAACTTGAATATGTAAGGCAAACACTGGAAAAGCCAAGGCCCAGAAAAGAAGGTAACAGGGAGGGAGGTCATATTCCTTAAGAACTCCGTTAGTAGGAAGCAGAATAAAAAGCTGCTTTACTAGGCAAGCTCCTCGATGGGTGAGTCTGGAAAGGACAGTGTTTTAAACTCCTTATTCATGTCTGCGCTTAAAAAGCTAGTTTGAATGAGCTGCATTAACAGATGAGTAAGTACTTGGCTTAAATAAACAGGTTAGGTATGTTAAATATTTTTGAATGCTTTAGACCTAATAAAGTTGTACTGAAATACCTGAAGAAATAATTGAAGCAGTGTGAGCTCTTAACCATAGTCTTTGAGAAGTGAAGTGTCATGGAGAATTCTGAACACGATGAGACAAACAATTTTTTTACCAAAGTCCTTGTTGCCATTCTTTTCTTTTTGCTGGGTCTACTTTTCATTCACTGTCTTGGTGAGACACTTCATGCTGCCCTTCAAAATATCTAATTCGGTGTTGACTTGGTGCACCTACTTATTAGGTAATGTCTCAAGCATATCTTACTTAATGTAATTTGTTACTTGGATAGCTAGTGTCTCTTGCTGGAGCAGCTATGTTAGTAGGATGATACAGGCAAATAATTGACAAATTGGTGAGTACACGAGCACTTTTTACTTTTTTTTCAGCTACATCTATTTTTATAATAAAATATGACTACTTTTGCATACCTTGCCTTTTCTGGGTATAGCAGAAGCAAGAGTATAGCAGGTGCAATTCCTACCCACTGCCCTTTACACATTAGTAATTTGAATTGACTGTGAGATGAAAAATAACTAGTAGCTTCTGCTGCCTTTCATGACCTATTTTGCAATAGGTGTCAAGAGAGGAGATATTTGGCAGACGCTCCAATCCTCAAAGACTTGCGGCTTGTCTCCAGAAGGTATACTTGAGCAAGAATAATTAACAGTATGAACACAAGTGGGAAATGTCTGGCAAAGGTAGCAGTTTGTATGAAGTGATCAAAGAGTTTCACAAGCTAACAATGCTGTTGCTAAAAAGCAGAAATGAGCAGGAGTGCTGGGTGTTGGTCAGATACCAACTAAGGTATTTTCAGTTTCCAATGCCTATCATCTTTCATTTCTCTCTCTGTCATCTGCCTTCACTGCTCCCACCCCTCCTTCTGCCCCATTCTTATTTACAAGACAACAAAGATGTCATTATATAGGTTAAATCTGCAGGATTTCTATGTGGATTAATTTTTTCCCCTCCCTTTAACTTTTGCTAATATCTCTAACAAAATTTCAGTTAGGCCTCTTTGTTGAGATGGTTTACTAAGTGCTATCTTATCTTTTAGATCTCTTTTTGTGGGCTAAGTCCTTGGTACTAGATGTTGGTTCCTGCACTCAAGTTCTTGAAGTTACTTTGAGTATCTAGAGTTTAAAATATAAACCTGTTTTTTTCCAGAATTTTGACAAATGTTGGATTTATTTTTTTAAAGTATTAATTACGTCCAGAGATCTGTAAAGCTAGGGATTTGTTTTATGATATAGCCTAAATAAATCCTAGACTGTGCTGTAGGTATTTATAAATGTTCTCTTTTTTATTATTGTTTTGGCGACTAGCCTGCGTGTTTAACCTTAGGTGTTTATACAACTCCAGCTACTTGTATATACAGTTTTCAAGGTTGCTTAGTTGGGCAATTCTTAACCCATCAAATGAAGTTTTATCTGAATGCATTTCTATTGTCAAAAGAAATGTCCAGTTGCCCTCAACAGGGGAAAAAAGACACACCCAAGACCCTAGAAAAAAACAAACAACCAAATCTTGATGTATTTTTAAATGCTTGCAAATAATGTCCATTGGCAGTGTTCCAAAAGAGTAGAATTCAGTAGCTGTGCTATGTCCTGTAACAGGCCTTTGTTTCCAGATTTTCCTGCTTGTTGTGAAGGTTTCTTTTTTTTTTTTTCCCCTCTAGCAGAACAGTCAAAATTGAGTGCAGTTGCACTTGGAGCTATGTTTTGTGGCAAGTGAAACATCTAAGAGAGATTAAATTTTGACCATGGAGGAGATTACTGACGTGGTCAATTACTGCATTTCAAACCATGACTATTAGAATCGGTTGCCAGCTGAGGTGTGGTAACTTTGGTAGTCCTTCGTGTTTACTTGCAGGAATATTTAGTCAATCTCTGTCTTGCACCCTCTTTCAACTGTGGGAAAAAAGATAGGCTGCATAAAGACACAAACAGCTCTTCTCTAGTAGCCCTTTGTGTGCTTTGATAGGCCTTTCACTCTGCCCAGACCCTCCTTCAAGGTTTTTGTAAGTAAACTGATATTTGAGTGAATGTGTTTTAGTAATTTTATACTAAAATATAGATGATTACAGTTTTTCTAGCTCTTCTACTGATTTTAACTAAAACTTTTACACTTATTGATTGTAAAATCAAAAGTATAGGAAAAATGGCTAAGAATTACTTACCCCACTTCCTAATCTCAGTGTTTCATGTGGTATTATCAAAGACTTCTTGTTTGGAAAGGTATCAATACCACGTTTATTCTCTGCCGTTATGGTGTACTCAGGTAGCATGAGCTGTAGCTCGCCATCAGAAAATATTGTTTGTAAGTGCTTGACATAATAATCCTTGCTCACTTTGCAGTAACTTGTTTTTTAGAAGCATTAGGGCTGCCAAATTGTTGCAGTTTAAGTTACTGTGCCTCAGCTGAAATGTGGCATGTGCCAAGTCCTTGATAAATGAGAGACAATGTTTACTTAGTAAACAGTGAAAGTGAAGAAACTAAACTCAGTTCAACTGCTTCATCTGTCACATAGTCTTAGAGTTCGCCTGTGAATATTTTTACCATGGCTCAGCTGATGTGCCAAAATTGCACGTTATGCATGGTAACGTGGTCACAAACTGAACCTTTGCTCTGGACACAATTACAAGTGCTTGTCGTGAGTAGAATGACATTTGGTGATGTCTTCTTGGAGAAGCAAATGCTTCTTCTAATGTTCCTGTCAATATGTGAGTATCACAAGGCTTAAAAAGCAGAACCACCAGCTCTCAAAAAATCCTGCTGCATGTGGTATTTCTCTGGAGGAGCTGGTGGTGGCACATGTCAGATGCATAGAATTCTACTGGAAAGTGATAATAGATTGTTGCAATGAATAAAATAATAAAAAAACTTCATAGTGTTTTGTGAGTACTACAAGGTGGATGGATTAGTTTACCTGATCAGGGCTTCCACAGCAGCTCAGCAAATTGAGCCAACTGTTCTAAGGTCAGGGAGGCCCAGGCACATCTGGAGCTCAACTTGGCAAGGGATGCAATGAATAACAAGAAGGGCTTCTACAGATATATCACCCAGAAAAGGAAGGTTAAGGAAAGCATACTCCTCCAAATGAGCAAGACTGGCAAGCTAGTAACAAGAGATGAGGAGAAGGCTGAGGATTTCTACAACTTTTTTGCCTTAGTCTTCATGCTCAGCCTCTCACCTCACACTGCCTAAGCTGAAGCACAAGATATGGACCAGAGGGGCAAATTCCGTCAGGCTCACGATCACCTGAGGAACCTGAATGTACACAAGTCTATGGGACCTGATGAAATGCATCTCAGAGTCCTGAGGGAATTGGTTGATGTAGTTGGCAAGCCACTCTCCATGATATTTGAAGAGTCATGGCAGTCAGGTGGAGTCCTTGGCAACTGGAAGAAGGTAAAAATTGCACCCATTTTTAAAAAGGCTAGAAAGGAGGATGCTGGGAACTACCAACCTGTTATCATCACCTCTGTGCCTACGAAGATCATGGAATAGATCCTACTAGAAACTCCACTAAGGCATATGAAGGATAGAGAGGTGATTTGAGACAGCCAGCATTACTTCACTAAGGGCAAGTCCTGCCTGACCAGCCTAGTGGCTTTCTACAATGGAGTGACTGTATCAGTGGACAAGGGAAGAGCAGTGCATGTCATCTCTCTCTGGACTTCCCCAAGGCCTTTGGCCTCGTCTCCCACAATATCCTTCTCTCTAAATTGGAGAGGTATGGGGCTGATGGGTGCATTGCAAGGAATTAGCTGAGTGGTTGCACCCGGAGGGAAGTGGCCAATGACTTGTTGTCCAGATAGAGATGGGTGACAAGAGGTCCCCCTCAGAGGTCTGTGCTGGAACCAGTGCTGTTTCGTATCTTCACCAATGATATAGACAGAGGGATTGAGCACACCTTCAGCAGGTTTGCAGATGACACCAAGCTGAGTGGTGCGGTTGATATGTCAGAGGGGTGGGATGTCATCAGAGGGACCTGGACAAGCTGGAGTAGTGGGCCTGTGTGAAAACCTCATGGGGTTCAACAGGGTCGAGTGCAAAGTCCTGCACCTGGTTCGGGGCAATCCTCGTTGTCAGTACAGGCTAGGGGATGATGTGATTGAGAGCAGCTCTGTGGAAAAGGGCTTGGGGATACTGGTGGGTGAAAAGCTGGACATGAGCCCCAAATGTGTGCTTGCAGCCCAGAGAGCCAGTCGCATCCTGGGCTGCATGAAGAGAAGTGTGGCCAGCATGTTCAGAGAGGTGGTTCTGCCCCTCTGCTCTGCTCTCGTGAGCCCTCACCTGGAGTACTGCATCCAGCTCTGGAGCTCTCAGCACAAGAGAAACATGGACCTGTTGGAGCAGGTCCAGGGGAAAGCCACAAAAATGATCAGAGGGACGGAGCATGTTTCTTAGGAGGACAGGCTGAGAGAGTTGAGGTTTTTCAGCCTGGAAAAGAGAAGGCTCCAGGAAAACCTTATAGCAGCCTTCCAGTACGTGAAGGGGACCTACAGGAAAGCTGGGGAGGGACTGCTTACACAGGCATACAGCAATGATTTTAAACTACAGCAGGGTAGATTTAGAGAAAAAGTTAGGAAGATCTTTCCTGTGTGGGTGGTGAGACAGTGGAACAGGTTGCCCAGAGAGATGGTGGGGGCTGTGTCCCCGGAAACATTCAAGGTCAGGCTTGATGGGGCTCTGAGCAACCTGATCTAGTTAAAGATGTCCCTGCTCACTGCAGGGGGACTTTAATGGTCCCTTCCAACCCAACATGTTCTGTGATTTTCATGACTGCCTTTTTGTGATTAGGGTCCAGTTTTGTAAAATTGGTGGTACTTTGAATGGAAGTTAAATGCCACCAGCGTGATTCAACTGCAAGAAATGTGTTCGTGCAGTTATAGCTCCTGTCTCCCCACGTACTTGGTCATTTCTAATTTGTGTCCCTGAAAGGAAAGCATTATTGGTTCAGTCAAATCTTCGTTTGCAATCTCAAATTGTATTCCTTTCCAGGCATGTAATCTTCTGGTTTCCTGGATCTTACTTATGCCTCTGCTTAACTGTATGAGATGTCTCTTCCATGTGCATGTGTTAACACGTATAAAACTAATTCAAAGGCAACCATTGCAGGTGTTCCATCACTCTTGTAGAATTTGTAGAAGACATTGCTTGGGACTATGCACAGATTTCCAAATTCTGAGTTTCCTGGTCCCTTCCAATGTTCCTTTGTTATGGCAAGTGTCTGATGTCAATTATGTTGTAAGAACATATCCTGCAATTAAAATTTCCTGTGTTTACAGGGTACTGAATTCATTGTTGTCTTAAGACGTCTAGAAATCAGATTTATAGAAATGCTTCCTTTGAACTTTTATAAGCCTATAAATATAACTTGCAAATGTAAGATCCTTTGAGGGCTAAAAATTCATTCTAAATTTAATGTTGCTAGATTTCCACAAGCATAAGAAGCAGATGGTTGAGGAAAAAGAAGCAAGCTTTTGGTTTTAAAATGAGTCCTTACAAAATGTGACAATAATAGCCAAGATTTTAACTTTGAGGAATCATAAGTTCTTCTCCATGTACATGGAAACTCCATGAGAAGATCTCAGGTATTATTTTGTAGCACAAATGAACAGTGTGTTCTTAATCATCTTTCATGGATATCTGAGGTGCAGGTTGTGGATATCTTCTACAGAAAAGCATTGAAGAACCACAAGGCAGGGACCACTGACTCAGAGTTGGGGATGTTCAGTGTGCAGAACTACTACTTTGATTATTGTAGTTTTACTTATTCACTTCTTTGCTTTTAGGAGCCGTAGCACTGAAGAATCTTGAAATAAAAGAAAATGCACTGGTACGTTAGTGAAAATAAAAATAAAGCTGTTGCAAAAATGATCCTTGAACGGTATTTTGGATTGTATGTGGGTTTTTCAGTTCTTATTTTAGGAAGCACTATCTTTTGTGTGAAAGCTTACTATTTTGTTTTTCTATGTTTGTGTGGATTGTCTGAGATTAAATTTAAAGGTGAAGGTGTATGCTGCCTTTGTTTAGCTTCTCCCCTCCCCCCCCAAAAAAAACCCACCACCAAAACTCTTGGCAAATTGCTAAAAGAATGTGTTTAGATCAAAAGCAATACTTAGACTTTTTTTTTTTCCCTATAGCTCATGAAGCTAGTAATTTCCTCTTGGAAATGTATTTACCTAGCATGGATTAACTATCTAAATCAGTAATCAAATATTTGCTTGTTCCAGTATATTGAATGTTTCTTTTGTTCAGTGGTTGAAAGGTAAATCTCTTATTAAGATTATGATAATGTTTTTTACGTATATGGGGGCATTTCACAAGTTGCTGAAATGAGTTTAAGTGTTCTAAATCACTTTCTTTCAGAGTCAGTTGGATGTGCCATTTAAAGTTAAAGCAGGACATATTGGTAAGTTACATTTTTTCATACAACTATGCAGGAGTTAATAAACATACTTTCTTTCCTTGCAAGTGGCTATTGTCATTCTAAGCAAGTAGTTTCCTAGTTTCCTTGATTTACATACTTTTTACACTGTGATGTTTGTCTTTTGTGGAAAAAAAACCCTGTTTGAAAAAGATCCTTTTTTTGAGCCTAGATTGTAATGTTAAAATTTTCTGGGGTTTGTCTAATTACTTCAATATTAATGAGAAAAGAACTCTAGACAACAAAAATGAGCAACTGAGCAGGACTATATCTCATCCCTTGCCTTAGCAAGCCTCCACAAATGATTTTGCCTCCACTTCCCTTTCTATCCTCCTTCCTTGTTCTGCTAATGTGAAAAGTTTTCTCATTGCAAGTTGATTATTTGTAGAACTTAGTGATTTCTTAAAGCAAGCTAAGTCTAAAGTCATTGCGTTTACCTTAAATCTGCCTAGGAAATACGTATTTTCCTGTGACTGGTTGCATGGTTTATTGAAATTAGTGCTTGTGTGAAGAATGTGAGATGCTGTAACCTCAGGGTCTCCATTTTCACAAAACATACATATTACTTTTAAGACTATCTTCCACAGAAAAAGAAGTGTCAAAAAATCTGGATTTGGGATTATTTTGCTGAGTCATCACTTAGGAGGTGCCCTTGGTTTTTTTACGTCTATAAGTGTGCTGCAGTGGATTTGCAAGGAGGGAGAGTTTGCTGTTAAGAAGGGGGAATATAAGTCAAGGGACTAAGAAGAGGACCTGTAGGCTTAATATTTCTGCTCATGGAAAGATGTGCCTCATCTTCTTTTGTGTGCTGTGTGAAAGAAAAACAGCAAAGTGCCTTGGATGCACTGTTTTTTTCTTTCCAGTATAATAATTGGAATAAGAGATCTTGTGGTTAATGTAGATTATATATATATTTTTTTGACTATTTAACTGTTTACCTCAACCTTTTTCTTTTATGTTTGTAGGTCAACTTAACCTACAGATTCCATGGCAAAACCTTTATACTCAACCTGTTGAGGCAGTTCTTGATGGTGTTTATTTGCTTATTGTGCCTACAGCCAGTAAGTTATTACAGAGAAAAAAGTGGAAGTAGATGGATGGGATTTCAGAAGTATCTGGAATGGATTGATCTTGTTTTCATGAACATTATTCCTAGTATACACTCCTAGCAAATACGATTAGATAACAAGAATGAGATATCTTTCAGTAGTTTACACTTTGTCACCGAATTTTGTGCTGTTATATAACTACGAAGAAAACGTAAAAATTAGGGGGTTTTTATCATACATTTTTATATTGTGTATTTAGGCATAAAATATGACGCTGAAAAAGAAGCAAGGCAGCTCTTGGAAGCAAGACAAAGGGAATTGCAAAGGATAGAGGAAGCAAAGCAGAAAATAGCTGACCAAGGTAAGCATGGGAAAAGCTAATGAAATTGCATCTGTTTATTTCTTTATTTTAATCCAGAAAGATGCTAGAGTGGTCAGTTTTTAGATTCCTGATTTTCTCTTGATACTTAAAAACCTGTTAAGTTACAGATTTTTAGGTGTGGCTGCCATCAATATTCCAGAACAGGCATCTGCAAAATAAAAAGGTTCAAACATTGATGCTATCTGATATAAATAAAGCTTTTGTAATTCTACTTACTTGTGTCATATGTTGCCTGACATTTTCTTTCCTCTTATTTCATAAGAAACAATTTAGCTTTGTTTCTGGTAGTAAATAATTATTATGGTTGCACCATTTCAAAGATTCTCTTGAATTTGTTCTTTGGTACATGTTAAATCTTACTATGCTAAATTTCTCTTTAGTACTTTCAAGAAATATGTATTCACCACCTTGAGTATTGGTGGGTACAAGACACACTTTTGAACAATGTGAGTCTTCATGCAGCAGATAATAAGGCTGAAAAGTCTAGCGTGAGAATATAAATGTTATAGATTGTACTGAAAGAACATGGTTTTATACAACTAGAGTACAGTGTAGTAGAAAATTTAAATATCTATGATACTTTATTATGTTATTGTTTTCTCTAGCATAGTTTCAAAAATGCAAACAAAATAGTAAATTCTTTTCTTTTAACTTAGATAAAGTAAAAGAAGAGAAACAAGACACTTTTGTAGAAAAACTAGTCACTCAGGTCATCAAAAATCTTCAGGTGAAAATTTCCAACATCCATATTCGCTATGAAGATGATGTAAGTACTTTTGTATATCTTGGAATAAGGGGTTTTGCCCTATAACATGAAATTAGGAACCTATCTAATTTCTTTTCTGCTAGTTGCTTTCCACTCTGAGAGAATCCTAGCAAAGTTTTGGAAATTTTATGATCTTAAACTCACTCCCCACCGCCCCTCCCCAACAACAAAAAAACAAACCAAAACAAAACTTCAACCAAAACAAAAACCCCAAACTGATAAAAAGCTTGTACCAAAGCATAAATACACTTACAAGCATATGGTTGTCTACAAAGACGATGTAATTGTCAGACCTTTACTATATATATTTCTTCTTTACTGTTGGTTGTTTACTTCCAAATCTGAATTTAGAGCATAAGATAATCCTCTTTTGGTATTTCCCTCCTGCTCTGTTAGATCACAAATCGGAATAACCCTTTGTCATTTGGGATTTCACTTCAGAATCTAAGTTTGCAGGTAATTTTATTTTTTCATCCAAAAAGCGCATTGATGTATACCGTTAGGTTATGTGTTACTGTGCTGTCTGGTAACGTGCTCTCTAATGAAAGTGTGCCTATAATCTTGGGCAATGCACAAAGGTAACTACTTGGTTTTATCAAATCCAGTGTAAATATTGTGGTTCGGGTGCCATTAAAGTGCTAGTGTTAAAACAGGCCTTTTCAAGGAAGTTTGTATTCATCTGCCTGTTGCACTTTGTAGATGGCAAGCACTAGATGTGCTCTGTTTGCTCTGTGAATATTTTAGTGCCATGAGTCCCAAGAAAGAGAGTTAATACTTGAGATTGGGAAGGGGTAAAAAAAGGAGAATGGCATCTTGTTTCAAGCTGGAGCTGTTCTGTGATCTGCAAGCTCCACTTTAAAGTGCTAATAGTAGTCATCACAGACTATGTACTTTATTTTTTTTATTTTCTGGAAGACTACCTAATAGCAGCAATATGTTGATTCTGCTGAGTTGCTCTGGCTCAGTAATTCTTGCTATGTAACAGATAATCTTAAAAAAATATGTCTTATGAAGCCTCGTTCCTAGCACATTGCCAGGTTTTTGCCAGCCCCTTCCCCTAAATAGTTTTGTATAGTGAACTAAAGCTTTGGTATTCTTACAGCATTATTCTGGAAATGCATATTAGCCTTGAAAAAGCATAGTAGCATATTGTAGTTTGAGCCCAGCAGAAACAAGATGATACTTCCAGAATTATAAAAGAATTCTAGTCCCGTGTTTATCTCTTTCCAGAGAGCCTGCTTAAAAATGAAATGAGTGTAAAGGAAGACCATTTGCAATACTGGAAACAGAATTTTAAAGAATCTTCTGGTTCTTGTTTGCAACCTGCCGGTCACTGCATGTACATGTGTGTATTTTTGGAGGGAAAGCAGACTTATCAAGTTTCTGGCTTAATTATCATAAATCAGAAGATGGAATACCATTACAGTGGAGTTTAATTCTGATGATGTTCCTCTCCTTTTCCTATTTTGTTTCATTTGTGATAAAGTGTTGGTGTATTACAGATACTGGAGTAACTTTATTAAATTTTCATTTCAGACCTCAGATAAGAATTGGAATCCATGTTTACATGATGAAACTGCCAAGTTGTTCTACAAGGTACAGTGTAACCTGTATGCTAAAGAAAGAATTGTTAATAAAACAAACTGAATTAGAGTTTCTTCTATAGAAAGTGAGATCAAGAAAGCAATTACTGCATAGGCTCTGAGATAAAAGCATATGTAGTTTGTGATGAGCATTCAAACTTCGTGAAATCCAGTTTATTAATCAGAAATTCATAGGTATTAATACATATGTTCTGTTGTATTTTCAGCTTGTACGACTGGATAACCTTTTTGCTTACTGGAATGTGAAATCAGAGATGTTCTACCATGGTGGTTGTGATGAATCATTGGTAAGTAAAGCATGACCTGATGTATCTAGTGTTCTAGTTCATGCTATGAAGCACAGAACATGCTTCACATTCAGTTCTGCTTCCATTTATGTCCATGTCCTGGAGGATTTTTTTAAGGAAAAATAATAAATGTTAAGGGTTTTGTGATGGAAGTACAACACCCATCTGAGGAAGTTAAAAAAAAAAAAATCTTTTGTCAGTTACAAAATTACACACAGTATCTGGTCAACTTACTATTCAGTACGAGATTACCTGAAACCCTTATTAAAATTCTAATATTTTATATTTTAAAACTTTATCAAGAAAGAAAAATGCAATTTATGTTTAACTCCATTGTGTTTGAAGGTCAACTTAAAACAGGGAGTTGCCAGCCACAATGTGATTCCAGAAGGTTATGATTTTGGTAAGTGATGTTTTATTTGTATTATGAATGTATACTTTACTTTTAATGGCTCCGAGAGATTGTTGCTTTGGCTTTTATTCAGAAACCTTAGTAAGGAGTACTATACTATAACTGTAGCCTTAAAAAGACTTTGATTAAAATATGAGTCTTGAATTATGCACCATTGTAATGGAATGCCATACATAAATCCTCGTTTTTCACACCCATTGATAATTCCTTATTTTAAGAAGTTTAGCAGTATGACGTGTATCATGTAGGTTTTGTGAGTCAGATTGGTTTCAGTAATAGATGAGTGTTTTTGAGGTGACCTGCCTTATGTGGAGTGTATAATTTTTCCTTAGAGATGGAAACAGTAATCACAAACTTTGGAATGTCATCAACACTTTTTTTTTTAGTGTTGCTGTATTGCAAGTTTGAGTAATACTGCTTTGAGGTGTTGCTTACTTTAGTCACATTGCCTCCACTCATACGTGGTGATTGTTTACTATGCATTTTATGGAAAATACTAGTTTTTTATTTCTCATGTGCATCTGTGTGATTGTTTAGTAACTGTTTACAAGGCAGAATGTCCTTTAAAGTGGCTTGTTCTCCAGTAAGCAAGTCCTCCATTTGCCACAGCTAGGGTTAAAAAGAGCACTGTTAGTCTTATACTTTTTTTTTTTTTTGCTGCCTATGCCTGAAAGGAGAAGCCTTTTCTGTCTCTTTATTTGACTGCCAGAGAACTGTTTACTAATTTTTCTGACTTCCTATCTGTCTTTTTCAATTACTAATTTTGACTCTTTTCACAAGAAAGTACTTAAATATCATCAGTTGTCTAGGTCTTTATATGAATTTCAAAACAGTTGCATGCAAAATTGCAGGACTCAAGATTTATGCTCTTGTAATTCAGCAGTGAAGTCAGAGATGCAGATATTTAAAGAATTACTTCATGCTGATATTCTATAGTAAATGAAAGTTCTGGCTCTTTTAGAGCAACTTGTTAGATTGAGATATTGATAGAAGGGTATTAGACACAAAGTCTGCTTCTGTAGTTTTATCTAAATGCAGACATAATATTCACCTATAGGAAGGATGAAAAATTAAATTTAGGAAGCTAATACAGGAAGAAAATTAATAGAAATGCTGCCATATATAATGTGTAGATAAGAGTAAAATACGATTCACAAATTATAAGGGGTTAAAATAGAAAAAGGGTAAATTGGTATAAATATGTTTTCATTGTGCAAAAAAATATCTGTTTCCACTTATATGAACCTTTCAGTGAATTTAGAATATGTGGTATGCTGATGGTCTATATTTCTGTTGAAATCAAAGGAATTTTATTTGATAAAAATTACATTTACACAAATTCTTATTGTTGACTCACTGAAACGTGTGGAGAATTGAATTAAATGTAGCGTCTGAAGGCTGTATTGAATGCCTGATGTTTCCAAATTGTAGAACAAATAAAATACTTTTGCTCTGAATATTTTTCATGGGATGTGCTTCGCTTTATATGGAATCCATAATGATGTTTTGCTTACTTGGGCTTGGATTTAGAGGTGTGGGATGTTAGATTTTATCTACTGTTGTGACAACAATTAATGAAACAGTGTAAAACATAGTAACATTTAAAAAATCCTTTTGGAATAAGAGTTATTATGGTGAAATAAGTGCTATGTTTGGAGTTTCTTGTAATATAAATAGCTTATATCAGCCAAAAAAATCAGTTTTGCTACAGATATAAACTATTAATAGAAACATCCTTCCTGCAATACAGGACATTTTGTGAAATATTCCACAAACATTTGTTCCACAAATGTTTTCAGAATTAAACTGGAAGTTCACTATATATCATATATTTTTAAGCTGTGTTGATGAAGTCCTTATGAAGTCTAGTATTTTAAAATGCTAATAATTTGGCATAACTTGAGCTGGTAAGTTTTATGTATCATTTATGCCAGTCTTAAGTAATTTAATTGCACTTTTTTATGTCAACTTCTGTTTTCTAGTATTCCGCCCAATTTCAGCTAAAGCCAAACTACTTATGAATCCTCGATCTGATGTTGACTTTTCATCACCAAAAATGGATTTAGATGTAAATTTACAGGATATTACTGTTGAATTCAATAAGCCACAGGTACAAATTGTTTTTCTGAAGTTATATGTAATGTGACAGAAAAGTTAGTTTGCAAGAATAATAAAAAAAAGCAATCTGAGATTGTATAATAAGTATACAGAATTGATTTACCACTTAGACTTCTTTTTCCTTTGTCAGTTGTTTTTAAGGAGAAGCTTGAATCACTGATCTCAGAAAGTCAGCACTTATTTTGATGTTTTTGTTGTTTGGTTGGTTTTGGTTTGTTTTCTTTTTTAGTACTTCAGTGTTATGGAGCTTCTTGAGTCTATTGATATGATGACCCGAAATCTGCCTTATAGGAAATATAGACCTGATGTTCCGTTGCACAACAATGCCAAGACATGGTATGGCACTTCAGACTTTGAAAATAATTTATTAGTTACTCGTGTGAAATAATTGCCAGGGGTTTGTTTCTTACTTAAGGAGGTTAGAACTCATTTCCTTTTGAAACAAAGTTTTCTCTTTTGCTTTTGTTTGTTGTTAAAGTAGGGGAATTAAAAAAAAATAGCAAGAACCTCAAACCAAAGGTGAGGACACAGTATTTGAAATCCTGAATATACTCTTTTAAAGACCATTACGAGAAACTTAAGCCTGAGAGTGTTTTACTGTCTTTACTCTGTTTTAATGGAGGAGATGCCATTCTACGTTAGGTACAATTACAAGAACCTAGAAATAGGCAAACCTTTTCAACTCATATTGCAGAGATTTAATTTTTTTCAGAAAGTTCCTACAAATACGGTTTGGTTATTCACACACACACATATGTACATATTTATGGCCACTTTTTGTGCAGGGTAAATTTTTAATTTTAGGAAATAGCAACCTGTCAACTTTGTGTGGAAAAATAACACAATCCTAAGGTTCCTCCACTGATCAGAATTGTGATTTTTAAGAAGCGATTAAGCTCTTTCACAGCTTGAAGTTGCATTTAATGGGACTCTGCATAGCTCTTGGTGTCTTTTAAATATAGCAAAAGAAATCTAAACTATACCAATTTTTCTTTGCTTTTAGGTGGAAATATGTCATTTATGGCATCCTTGAAGTAAACGTTCAACCCAAGCTCCAAATGTGGTCTTGGGAACATATTCGACACCATAGGAAACAAGTGAAGAACTATAAAGATATGTATAAAACCAAGATAACATCTAAAAAACCTAGTGAAGAAATCTTAAAATTCTTAGAGGTTAGCTATTTTCCACTGAAGGCTTAAATATTATTCATCTTACTGTTTTCTTAAACTCAAATGTTTGCATGTTCCTAAGTCGATGCTAAGTTAAAATAAAATTTTCAGTTGCCAGACTAGCAACTTCATCAGTACCTTTCTCTGTGAATAGTATTAACAAATATGTTAGGTAATTTTTTAAATTAATAGCTTCAGTGAATAAAAACTTGAACTGCTTTTCTTTTCCAGGTTTATTTTAAATTTTCAGCTTGATCAAATTAACTTGAGTTGCACTGAAAGAGTTATTTGCTGTCATTTCTTGTAAATTTGAGCTGTGAAATCTAACCAAGTGTATTTGTCAAAAAATAATTTCTCACCTCCTTTCTAGGAATTCGAAAAGGCCTTGGATATTTTTAACATCACTCTAGCAAGGCAACAAGCAGAAGTTGAGGTAAAATTTCATCATTTAAGTGAGTCTAAGAATAACTGCTGTCTGAGGTTGTGGAGATTTTGGGCATATACATTCGAGGTTTAGTGATTAAATTGTGCCTCATACAGGCTTTCTATTTTTTTTGCATTTTTAATTTGCTACTATAAGGCATAGTTAGTGTCAGCTTGTAATTAAGCAAAGATTAAATAGTTCCATATACTGCTTTTTCAGAATGAGTGATCTGGGATAGATTTCTTTTCACTTCTGGTGAGGAAGATCTACCATGGAAAATAGGGTCAGAGCATGATAAAATAAGTCAAACTGGAAGCAGTTATACCCAAAGCTTCAGGACTTTGTCCTCCACCCTATATCCTAGATTATTAGTTTATTCCTTTCCTTCTTGATAGGCTGTAATGTAGACTGATCGCTTGTGTATGTAGACTGTTGACTCTTTGTTGCTATTTGCAAGCTTTGGAATACAGCAAATGCAGCATACATTTAAGTAGATAATCACAATTAGGCAAGATAATGCGAGTTGAGTAGTTACACTTAATTTGGTAGGCTTTTTTCTTTATTTTTATTTTTTTTTGCCAATGCACTGCTTAGTTTTCAAGGTAGTGTCTGAACATCATTTCAGGAGTCTGAAGCAAAACCTATATAGGTTTTCTGAAATTTATGGAGCGGTCTTCATTAATAATCAGTATGATTAAGAGTAAGCAGAATATGAGGTTTAGAATATGAAATAATGTCTTGATAATTAAACTTCATAGATGTCAATCATTTCTTATGTCAGTGCTTGAAAGGAATTTGATTTTTTTATGTGTGCAATATATTAATTGTGGTGTGAACACAGTTGTTCTGGTGATAGATATAGCGCTTCTAAAATAAAACATTAAACAGGAATCCATAAATGTGATTTTTTTTTTTTCCTTCTAATTGTCTGTATGTACACCCATATTCTGATGTTTGTATGATCATTATTCAGACTTCTACAGTGCCAGAACACACATTCCTCCTTATCAATTGTTAGGCTGAATTGGAGTGATTTTCATGAGAGGGGTTTTTTTTGTTTGTTTGTTTTGTTTGCTTGCTTTTTGTTAATTAATTTTGGAATGTTTTTATCTTGTACTGCATAGTTTCTTTTGGTTTTATCTTTTTCCTTGTATTTTTTGCAAGGTGAGTGAGATTCCAAAGAATTTTCTGTCTATTTTTATTCTTTTCTCCAGTGTGACCATGGTGCTTACAAAAGGTGGTGTGATATTGCATTCCTGACCACTTCCCAGTCCTGAGTTTTAAGATAGGTGCCTGTAGTGCTTAGAAGTAGGTTTTAAGCAGACGAATTTTAATTTTTCTGGGTCTTTAAGCCTTGCATTTGAAAAGTGTTAGAAAAGCATCTTGAAAGATATGCCAGCTAACTCTGAATTTATTTCCAGGTATTGGAAATCATGTCACAGTGATTCTAAACTGTTCTACCTCCATCTATCTGTCAGAACTCATCTATCTTGTCGTTACTAGCTCATACCTCTGAAAAAGGTCTCAAAGGACTTGTAAGATGCAAATCTACTAATAACTTGGTATCCTGACAGCCTTAAGTCTGCTAGGGATTTAAAGAGCCCTGTTTAGTTGTGGACTGAGTAAAGCCATATAAAGGGCCCTACTCTTAAGCTGTTTTGGTTCTTAAAAACATACCTTAGAGCTGAATTTCAGGGCTTGCTTTTCTCACATTTATGAACACAGTCCCGTATGATTTTCAGGGAATTTTATAGTGGGAACATTGTAGTGAGAACTTTATATTCCAGATGTTAAGCCACTTTTTAATCTCTATCACTAGTTCCCTAAGTACCAAACACCAGCCTCAGTGAGCTAAGCATCTGATGTCTGTATTGGATAGCTTAAAAGATTTTGTGCTTTCAATCCAGAGAAGACTTTTTAGACAATTCACCTTAATCAGAATACAGGATTTTTCCTTTCTTTTAGTTGAAAAAGTTTACCTTGCTGAGTAGTCTTTCTGCTGACTATGACTGCATTAATTACCAAACCATTGTAAAAAGAAGATGGGGAAAGGTCAGCAGGATTTCTTCTAGATGTTTATTTAGTTGCTATACTCAAAAATGTTTTCTTCATCCTTGCAGAAATACAGTACCTGTCCCTTCTGTCTGTAGCCTTTCTTAGCTTGAACTCTAGTGCCAGCTGCTGTCCTAGACGTGTTAAGAATCATAGTTTTAAGCATCACTTTTCTTTTTCTTCATGGTAGCTGTCCTGCGATGCTAACTCCTTTGTGTCCTAGAAACCTCTAATTTCATAAATTCAACAATCCTTTTTTTGTAAGGCTCTGTCCATTCTTTCCTTGGACTGTTCACGTCTGCTTGATGACTTGGTGTCCCTTAATAAAAAGGACTGTGGAGAATTTTGATCAAACTTTTTGAGGCCTTTTTTTGTTTAGCTGACATTCCTCATCATTGCTCTGAGGTAGTAGATGTAGTATATAGTATCAGTTCAGAAGCTTTTATGTTTTTTTGGTGAGCCCTGCCTTCCATTGGCCTAGAAGTGGATGGAAATGACAAATCCCTAACAAGTTCTGATGTATGGCCAGCTGTTTTCCTTAATTGAGGGATCCCCGTCTCACTTTGGGTATTACATTCACTAGACCATCTCTAAATTCAGAGCTTATCTCCAAGTGTTTATATCTTTTCAACTCATATTAGTTATGACAAAAAATGGTAAGTTTGTGTGGTCCACTGCAATTTTGAGAACATCTCTGTCTCCTAGATTGCTTGATTGTTGTTTGCTGTCCCTTATGGCAAAATTTCAGTGGTCAAATCTGGATGTAGTTTGTGGGTTTTTTGAGCACCCCGTGTTGGAATGACCACTGGCATTGCATGGGACATCCCCTAGTTATTGAAGTGTTTTCTATATTCCTTAGAATAAATACTAAATTACAAGTGTAACGATTTTTTAATTAATATTATTGCTTCAGATATCTTTGTTGAAATAAAAATATAGTGATAATTTAAAATGTGGCCTGTGCTGGGTATTTAGTTGTTTACATTTTTAATGATTCCTTTTTCAGTGCGTTGTTGTAATGTAAAGCACTATATAGTGTTGCGGATTTTTTTTTTCATGATGAGAGCCAGAGAGAAAATCTGCTATGTAAGAAACATTTATTGACTTAAAATCAGTTAGCTTTTGCTTGCTCTTTTTGATTATAAGATATTCTTATGAATTGGTCTAGTGATGCCCTGTGTACTTGAAAAAATAGAAGAAAGATTAAAAAATAACAATGCCTTTTCAATGGTTGTCTAATGATGTTTTGATGTGTTAAAGCGTATCTTGATCCTGTATTTTTTGTAGGAAAATGAAGAAAGGAGCATGAAGAAAATTACTTACTTGAGTACTTTTTAAATTTCAGGCAACTAAGGCTGGATTAAAGATCTACAGACCAGGAGTAAAACAAGATGATGAAAATTCTAGTGGCTGGTTTAGTTGGATGTGGAGCTGGTCAGGTGAAAAAAAGGATGAACAAAAACAAGAAGTGAAGGGTTCAAGTATGTTCACTTTTTGGTATTTTTTCTATTACTGGAAATTACTTACTAGAATAATAGATCCCTAGCAATGGAACTTTGGATTTGTTTAATATTTGGGTGTTTGGATTACTGATGTTTACAGTTTCTCTTAGCCTTTTTTTTTTTTTGGCTGCTGAAGTTGTTATTTGTGTATTACAGAGGTATCTTGCAATTCCTCCCATGTATCTTTCTGAACTGTCTTCAATTTGTGCTTTTTTCTGTCCCAGCTTTCACGTTTGTCTGCATCATATATTGTGTATGGGCATTTGAAGAAAGTGCTAGAAAACAGTAGCAGTTAATGGAATGTAAACAATTTTACTTCCATTCATTTTATAATTCGGCTATTTTATGCAGTGTATTAGTGTTTGATTCACTTCAGTATAGGGCATCTAGTAAAGGTTGTGGAACAAGGGCAGTAAATCAGAAAGGTTGCTTCTGTTGTTAGCAAGGTAGCAACTTTGCTGTAAACTTCAGAGGTATTGCTTCACCCCTACTTCCACGGCTACCAAGCACGGCAAAATATATAACAGTATTTGTTTTTTTCAGGTAACTATAATGAGTTAAACTAACCTCTTGCAATGTGACAGGTCTTGAAGAGCTGATGACACGTGAAGAAAAGGCTAAACTTTATGCAGCGATTGGATATAGTGAAACAGCTGTGGATCCAACCCTTCCAAAATCAGTAAGTCATAACTGACTGATACTAAACAATTGATAGCCTTATTGGCTTATAAAAAAGATAATACAAAATCATGTTCAAAATTACTTGAAACTCTGTCTCTGTGTATTTGAATGCGGTACTGACACTTTTAAGTTACTGCCTGCTGGCTTTGTGCACAGCAGCATCCTTAGTAGCGGTTTCGGAAGAGTGGTTATAGAGCTTACTTTGGATATTCTGAAAAAAGTTCAGAATAACATTTTGCTTGCTCAAGCTAGAATAAAATCAGTTAATTGGTTAAATTGGTTAAGCTATAAAGCAATCATGTATACTCTTACAATATTCAGAAACCTCTCAAGTTCACGAAGTGATTCAATGGAGTCTTAAGTATGAATGATAGTAGATGAGGTAGAGTAGGTGGATATATGAAGAAAGAGATGATTCAAGAACTGTAGAGAGGAAGATTTTTGAACCATTCGGAAATCACATTTATATGTGAGATACCATGCATGGTAAAATGGAAGGTTGTAAGCCCGTTGTCTCAAAATGTGGTGGAGAGACATCAAAGACGTATGTTTGCAAACATAGTCTATTCTTAGTCTAACCATGCTTCTCTGTAATAACTATTTGGGAATGACTTTTACACCAGCTATGATAGAAGACTATAACATTAGAAAAATAGCATCAAACTGGTATTTACGGTTTTCATCTCTTCATAAACTGTATCAAAATGTATATTAACATATAATCCACTGTTATTGTTTTCCCTGCATATTAGTATGAAGCCATGAAGCTCTCTGTGAAGTTACTCAGCATGTCTATATCAATAAGAGAAAACAAGCAAACTCCTGAGCTGGTAGAATTTGCGTTAATTGGCTTGACTACAGTATTTACCCAGCGACCAGGCGCACAAGCAATAAGGTGAACTGTCTCTACCTTGCTCCTCGTGAAATGTTGGTGACAGCTAATGGATGTCTTAAGTCTTCGTTTTTCACTGTTGTTTCATTTGCAGTTTAGGAGCAGAATCATCCTACAACTGATGGGCAAAGTGAATGGATACTGTTTCCAAGATTAAGTCCTCTCCATCTTCAGAATTTCTGTGTCATAACAGATCTTTTTTTTCTTAATTTTTTTTCTTTTCAATTTGTCATTGTTATGTACAAGCAATCCAATTACTGACTTGTTTCTTGCTTGGAAAATAACTATTACTCCTTTTGGAACTTAATCTGAGCATGGTGATCTTGCAACAGCTTGTGTGTAGGCATTTAACATGGCTGAAAAGTTCTTGAGTTTTCAGTTGAGCTGTTAAATTTCTATATGAGATACTTTATTTTCATTTCAAATGTAATGACTTAAAAGTTCTGGGGAGGACAGCCTTCCTGTTTTAAACCTTGTCCCCTGTACTTTAGGGCATGTTAATATAATCTGTCTATGATATTAAGATACTGTTGATCTTGCTGAACTTTAATGCATAATTTTTTTTCACACTTTGCTTGCAGATTTTATGTTTTTCCCTCTATGTATCTAAATGGCTCTTACGATGCTATCATACTGAGAAAAAAAGAGAAAATGCTATATTTTTACAGTGAAAGGTTTTCCTTTGAGTGGTGGGAGATAAAGATCTTCAGCTAAGAGCTGATATAGAAGTGGACAGGGATTTGAAACAAAAAATCCAAGACCTGTAAAATACTTCCTCAGAGTAGTGCTATAGAGGTGGACAGGGTATTGGAAAAAAGATAAATCCAAGACCTAAAAAATACTTCTTCAGAGTAATGAGGCTATTAATCTTGTGCTCCTCCTGTGGTGTTTCTTTTATTTCTCTGCACTGGAATGCTTTCCTCTCTGCTCTACTTCTGTTCCCCATTATAAATTTTGCCATCTAATTTCTGAGCTCATACTACAGAATTTCTGTTTGCATGTCTCCTCCTGCCCTGACACCTGTCCTAATGAAAAGTGCATGAGGTGAATACATCAGACTCCTTTTTCTCTTTACTCAGGGCTGACTAGTAGACACAAAACGTAATGAAATAGAAAACAGTTAACGCATGGATATACGTGTTAGATCCTTAGACTAAGCGATTTAGTTGAGGTAGTTGAGGTAGGGTATGGGTACATTGTTGGTGTTTGGTGGTTTTGGTGTTTGTTTTTTTTCTTTTCCTCCAACTCATTCCTTACACTCTTGCCATCTAATTGTTCCTAGCCAGATGGATATTACATCTGCATATGCTTTTTGCCTTTCTTTACAGATTTGAAACACAGATTACCTCACTTGAAGTTACAGGCATGGCCCGAGAAAAGTGTACACCCCGTCTCCTATCTTCTCGAACTGTCTATTCAGACAAGAGTACCTCACTGTTAAGCATAATGTTTGAGACTAATCCTTTGGATGAGAAAGCAGATCAGAGGCTTAGAATAGAATCACAGCCACTGGAAATAGTGTATGATGCAGTAAGTAAATAGCTGAAAAAATTATAAATCTTTAAAAATCATATTTAATAGCAAATTTACCATGCATTATTTTTGCTTTGATAGATGACAATAAATAGCTTAGTGGATTTCTTCAGGCCTCCAAAAGATGTACATTTAGAGCAACTGACTTCAGCAACCCTGATGAAGCTTGAAGAGTTCCGTGAAAAAACATCAACAGGCAAGTGCTGTACACTCTTGTTCTTGCACACTCAGATACATTTTTAGATTCTAGGACGGTATGAAAATATTGTATCTTTCCACGTGGAGATGCATGGATCCAAGTTAAAACTTTCTAACACAATACCTAAATAAGCCGAATTCTTCGATCTCGTTACAAAACATTTGTTCTAGGTATTGGATAATTTTCTATCTCTGTATGTTCCACACCCTGAGGTAGGATTTCAATGTTTCATAGAATCACAGAATGTTAGGGGTTGAAAGGGACCTTCAAATCTAGTCCAACCCCCCTGCCAGAGCAGGATCACCTACAGTAGGTCACACAGGAACGCGTCCAGGCGGGTTTTGAATGTCTCCAGAGAAGGAGACTCCACAACCCCCCTGGGCAGCCTGTGCCAGTGCTCTGTCACCCTCACAGTGAAAAAGGTTTTTTTCTAATATTTTTGTGGAATCTCCTATGTTCCAGCTTGTACCCATTGCCCCTTGTCCTGTCATTGGATGTCCCCGACAAGAGCCTGGCTCTGTCCTCCTGAGACTCCCCCTTGACGTATTTATAAACTTTTATTCTGTTGTACTCCATGCAGAGTTAAAAATTGTTGCCTCCAAATTTTTTGGTTTGTTCTTCTGATTATCTCAGGGGCTTTTTTTTGGTTTCATACTCTTTAGAAACTGATACTTGAGATGTTGATCCTCTGATGAAACCCTACATCCTTTCCAGAGTTGATACTTTTCAGGACACTATCTGCCTTTGTCTAGGTGTTTTGTTCTTTGACAAATGTTGATTTTTTTTTTCTAGATTGACTCTGATGAAGTCGTATTAACTATATTTGTCTCCCAGTTACTCAGCATCAAAGTTGTTTCTGTAGTTTTCGTTTCGTCCTACCTTTTTTCTCTAGAGAACTTATATTTTGACACATGAATGAAAATGATGAATACTTTGAAGACTAATATAGAGATTTGTATAATTAACTTGTTCTTGTGAGGATGTCTGAGGCTTTTTAGATGAGAGATGTGTCTAGCACTGTATCCTGACTCTTTGGGCAGGAAAGTATGGGGACATTTAATGTCTAAATTCTTTGTAAAGGGGAAAAAATTCAATGATTTTTTTTTACTTCATTTAAATTAGTATTAATACTGTATATTCAAAAAACCTGAATACTCAGTGACAATGAGTGAAAAAAAGTACAAAAAACTCAACATATATATAATAGATTGCTTTTATGAAGCCTTTATCAGGACCAAAATCGGGAATCAATTGCACTTCTGTTGATTAGTTCTTCTTTGACTGAACTGTTTAATTAATGACTAATGTCAGATTAACCACTCGAAGTTAGGTAGATCAAGTGACTTGTCTTTTCTATCAGTAGTTTTTCCAGCAATACTGAATATATTGATACACAGTTCACACTTGAGATTAATTTGATAAAAATTTTTGTAGTTTAAAGGTGCTTAATACTCCACACACGTTCTTGTGGAAATATGAAATTATGCTACATGTCTTATAATTTAAGCATAGCACTACTTTAGAGATGTATCCAGTGACTTTTACATTCACAAGAATGCTGAGCTGATTGTAGAAGTCTAAAATCTTGTTCTATTCATAAATGAGAAGTCTGATGGAAATTTCCAAAAATATGCTCTGCATTACTTGTAAAATCTTGACTGAGACTTACAGAATTACCAGGGATGTTTTGTACCTGTGATACAAAACAAGATAAGATTTGATCCTTGGAATATTCTGTTGAAGGAGACTGCTAGTATCAGAGGTATAATAAAAAGAAATGGAATTATATCAATAATCTATTCAAGCTTGCAGTCCTTCTCAGGAAAGAACTCTTAACACTTTTATATATAGTAGAAGATAGCTGGAAAATATTGGGGAACTGTGAACTGCAGAAGTGAAAAAACCAGGATTTGATCTCAAATGTTCTGTCTTTCTGAACTTCCCGACTAGTTGCATGATTTTTAAACAGGATTTTTGTAAGACCCTGTGTTTGCAGTCTTCAGCATCTCAAGACGGAGATGCTTGTTAGCAGAATCGGTGTAAACTTCAGTATCTCAGTAGTAACACCACTAGCAGTTTGGCCAGTGCATTTGGATGCTACCAGTAAGAACTTCTAAAACAATTAAATTTCTGAATTTACAGAGCACAGTGGGTTAACTCAGAAGTTGCCAAGTTGCAATGCACATACCAGTTCTTCTCATTTCATCTCTGCTTGATATAAAACTGTTTTCTGGATTTCCATGTGTCATGTTGCTATCTCTAGTAATCCATTAGCACTGTTTGCTATCATCTTCTCATCTGCCTGGTGCTTCTTTAAAGACTGCCAATGGTTCAGAAGACATCTGAAGAGCATCTGTACTTGCAATTCAACTTAGTCACTTAGCATTCATAGCTCATATAAAGTTAGATTTGAATTTATATTTATACCTTCTTCTGATTCCATAGCTTCTGTATAGATTAATTTGTCTATATTTACCGATTGTATTATTTTTCAGGTTTGCTGTATGTTATTGAAACCCAGAAAGTTCTTGACCTCAAGATTAATCTCATGGCTTCATACATCATTGTTCCACAAAAAGGATTCTATGACTGTGCATCAAATTTACTACTTCTAGATCTTGGTAGTCTTAAGGTATGTATTTACCTAATGAAGTTACTTACTGAAAATGGTGGTTTGGCTTTTGTGTGATTTCCAGCTTCTTAGAATGTATTTTGCCATACTGGGTAAATAAAAGCTCCTGTTGCATCTTATATATTAGGTATTTATTTTAAACTGTTTTCCAGTCATGGCAGAAATTAATCAACCCAAAAGTATTGTTAAAAAATAGTTGATGGTTTAAACTCCTAAGTGGAAAATGTTTATCAATTTTTTACCTCACAATATAAAATAGTAAACGTTTTACTTAAATGCTTAAATGGTCTTTTCTTTAATATTACTATTGTTTTTGTTATCAATTGCCTTTTTGATCATTCAGTTTAACTTTAAAAACTGAAAAGTAAACATATTGGCCGTTTATGAAATAACAAGTAAAAATAAAGATGTTTGAGATACCTCATGCAAAGGAAAAGTCAAGTAATTTAAGGATGTATTTAAAAATATAATTTAGCAGTATAAACTAATAGAAGAGTGATTCTGCCAAATTGATTTATGCTTTTTTATGACTTTTTAAGATGAAAAGTAAAAGTCGTTCTGATTTATCAGAACTCAAAGTAGGGCAAAGCACTATTGAAGATATAATGTCAAGAGCTTACGACAGTTTTGATATCCAGCTCAGCAGTATACAGTTACTGTACAGCAAACATGGTAAGTATTCATGAAAGTCATCTTTCTTTATATGAATAAAAGTATTTTGGTTGTTGATGCACCTTTTACTTTTCTAAGCAGTGGAAAATCTCTGGAACATACTTGTTTAACTACTGTTCTGTACTCAGTCCTATGAACATGTTACCAATTTCCAAAGCATGCCTTTAGGCCTTAGTTTCCAACTGTAGCTTTTGCTAAATAAACTTAAAACAAATCCCTTGTTTTTCAAGACATTTCTTGCATAGTAAGTATAAGAGTGTAAATTATTTATGGTATTTTACTTTAGTGACTTTTTCTTGCTTCTCTCCAAATCTAAAACAGAACCCATAAATAGTTGTAAGTTTGGTCATTTTATGAGGGTAAAGAAAGGATCAGAGTCTCTTATTGAAGGAAACTTCTACTAGTAGTTTGGGAACCAAAAATATGGAAAGAATCAGAAGTCTTAAGCACTTAATTTCTCACTGTCTTGTTCCAGAGGCAAATCCAGAGCCTAAACTCACCGTACCGTGCAAGTTAAGAATTGGGCCCTTAGAAGTCTGCAGCATGGATGGGGTAGCTGTTCAGATGTGAACAGCAGAAAGAATTAAGTAGCTTATTATGTCTAAAGTTCGGATCTTGTATAATATACACATATTGATAAAGCTGTAAAAGACGTGTAACCTGAATTTTTAGCAACATATACTAGCTAATATCAGACTCTTTAATTCTGTGATATGTGTAGTGAGAAGGAACCTCTTTCAGTGTTTAAAAAGTAGGCTTTCTTTGCTCTTCTAGATGAGAACTGGCAAGAGGCTCGGAAGCTGAAGTGTTCATCTCAACATATCTTGCAGCCCTTGGATGTAAAAGTGGAATTTAGCAGGGCTATGGTTGTTACAGATGCAAGAATGCCCAAGTATGTGCTTTTTCGTGTTTTGAAATTTTATTGTAAATTTCCCTTTTATGAGGGAAAGAAAGAAAAAAATATATGAAGGACTATATTATTTTACATCTGCTGTGTGTGATTCTTGGAAGTAGGAAAATACCTTAATTGAGAAAAATAAAAAACCCTATGAGATTACCAGATATTAAAGCGATAGAATATTACATAGTTATAAAATTAGTATGTATAATACATTAGAAGACTTTATCACAGATCTTAATACCTGTTCTGCTTAGGTCTTTCTGATAGCTGCATTTCAGTTCTTATTGGAACACGGAGGACCAAAAATCTGAATTTATGAAGTCTCTTCTCAGAATACTTTTGTGATGTTTATAAAAGTAATGTGCTGTTATACTCCCTGTCTTTCACTTAGTTTACTTATCTTTTTTGTTTATCTACTAGAGATCACTTCTCAGGGAAACAGCTCTTAATGCATTGTTTGTACTTGGGCTAATGTATTGGTTATGGATATTGTACTCGGAAGAAAATATATGTTACTGGAGTGATGAAACTTTGTTGTAAATGATCACTCAGTCAAAATGTCAAAGATAAACTTTACATGTGTTTTGGAAAAATACATCTTCACTAATGTTTCATAAGGACGCTACTACCTAAATAGATTACATCAGTTTTGAAGTACTTGCAGGTTAGCACATTGATGCATTCTGAGGTAATCTGGTTTATTAAGTCATTAATAAGAGCCATATTCTTATGTTACAACAAGCTAGCATATGCATATTTTATTCTTAGCACCACTGGAAATTCAGATTTTTAGCTGGGCACTTTAAAAAATGAATGGTATAAAAATAAAACTAGGCAATTGCAGAAAATTGCTTAGGACAATCAGCAAGGTCAAGAGGCAGTGTATGCAATAAAAGAATTACAAAGAATCTGGTATTTGCTTAGTCAGAAAAGAAAAGACCATAAAAATAATGTACCTCACTAGTGTTGTATATTGGAATGCGGATTAATGATTGCATGGTATAATGGTGCCACCTTCTGGAAAGCTGGGAGACTAGATGCTGAGTTTTGATACTTTACAAAACATCTGATTTTTTCCATCCTTACTTTTTTCGTTTTGATGAAGAAGGTGAGATAAAAGAAGTAAAACTCACAGGAGTCTCTCTTTCTATATCAGAAAGCCCAGAGATTGAAAACAAGATTTCTTTTCTATGGCCATATAACAGAATGTCGTTTTAATGTGGTTTGTAATCGACATCTCTCCAAGTTATGCTGGTATAACCTAGATTAAGGAGTATCTGGTCTTAATGAGAACAGATGTTGCAATATTGTACTGTTACCTGTCTAACTGTCTTGGCTATCAGGTGTGCTACTTCTTTTAGCAGTTTATGTGTCTAGGCTGATTCTGGGAAATTTTTCTCTAATGGATGTTATTTCTGTGTTCTGAATTCTTATACAGTAAATTAACCAAATAGTTTCTACCTGTTTCCAGAAATTGGCAAATTTTTCTTCCACTGAGATAGTAATATTTTCTGGAGATCGGCTGCTGATTCTTTCCGAGTGCCCGCTCTCTCTATAGCTGTTAGGAGTGCCAGGGACGACAGTTCAGTCCTAGTTAGCATACGCTACAGTGAGTTGCTAGTCATCACTAATAGTTTAACCTGCACCACGAGCTAGTAAGCAAACATTTCAAATCTGTCATGTTGATACTATAGCTCAACAACAGCTGAACTTGTAAATTTTATACCTTGTTCAGTTTGCAGATGCTTCCAGAACATATTCTGCAGTTCCTGGTGTTATACTTTAGAGTTATCTACTGGTCTTGAAGTGACTGATATGGCAGCTTTTTACCTGATGGTGGAGATTTATGGTCTTCTTTCATGAACTTCTGTGTAGTATATATCTAGCTAGGATTGTATGACAGATTATTACATTTGGTTATATGTCTCCCAAATTGTTTAAAATGACAAATGTTTTATTTTGTTGGTCTCTAGCTTTGACTATTTAAACCCATCAACACTATCATTAGCAACGTAGCTTCAAATGCCAAGTACCTTATTATCACTTCATCATCTCTTTTTGTTTTTAAGAATGGTCAGTTAATGAGTGTTTACTTACAAATATTTAGGCCCATGTGATCTCTAGATGACATTGGGCACAAATGATGAGTAAATTAGTAGGTTTTGTGTCAAAAATCTCCTAAACTGTAAATTTCAGTAATTATAGTTGAATAGAGTATTATGTGTCAGTATTGCTGACATCAGTTTCACATACATGAATGTATTATTGCAATTTTTTATAAGAATACTTGCATATAAAGCCAGCATGATCTTTTTCCTGAGCTTCTTTTCAGTAATATTGGAGCTATGCTGTAGAGCAGCATAGTTCTGCTGAGGAAGGTGAGTGGAAAAGTGTTTGTTCTACAGCAAAAACTAATAACAAAATTGCTTGTTTACTATAGTAGGATTTTATGAATGAGTCACTTAGTTTGGAGGGCATCTATTTAAGTTACCTAACAAGCAGTAATTGGATTCTGGTACTTTTTAAATTCTGTGGTGTTTATACTTCCTTGAGTGACCATCAACTGAATCTCACTGAACTCCTTATGATTTTGTTTTTAAAAAGGGTAATGAATTCACTAGGGGGTTGTGCTGGCTTTGTTTTAGGAAGGCACATTTCACTCTGCCAGAAGTGGAATTAAGAATAGTCAAAAATATTCCTTAAGAATATATGTGTATATGTGCGTACACATGCACGCACACACACAGACAGACACACACACAGAAAATACACAATGATTAGGTGTATGCTTTTCTGACCAGGAATAATTGTGAGTCAAGGTAATGTTGATTGTTTACAAAACAGGTTCAAACTGTCTGGACAGCTGCCTTTACTTTCCATCCAAATATCAGACCAGAAGCTGACGAGTATCTTGGAGCTGATTGATAGTATTCCCAAACCAGAAAGTGCTCCTGCTGCCAGTTCGGCTCCAAAAATAACTGAGGTAAGATTTTTTTTAAAAGTCCTTAATAATTATCATTAATTAATAATTCAGTAATAATTAGGTTCTTGCTACTAGTGTTGCAGTTTTGAAAGGAGCACAAGAAAGCAGAGAATAAGCATTTACTTAATACCTTTTAAAAAATGTAGCTAATTCTCTACATCCATAGAAATTTTGCTTGTTAGTTAGTTCATTGTGATCTTCAGTCAATCATTATGAAATAGTTGTTCAGTAACTGAATTTAAAATTAAAACAACACAAACTCTGGGAATTATTTTGTAGTTCATATTTTTCTTGATTAACAAAGTTATTCACTTTTGTTGAGGATTAGTTTGATTGTACCTTGAAATTTACATGTGTCAGTGCTACAGAGTTTGGATTGAGCTATTTTGTTTAGCAAAGAAAAGGGTGAAACCATGAATTTTTTAAAGTTATATTATTTTGTGGATCTTGGTCAGGCACTTCAGCTCTCAAAAGCAAAACAAAAAACGTCCACTATCTCTGGCTAGTGCTGGCTAAACAGTGCCTGCTTGGCAAAAGTAACAACTTCATTTCAGCTTATTTAACTGCTCTTTCCAGCTTTTCTTAATTCAGTTATACAACATACTTAAGTCAGCGGCAGTTCTGCTTTGGGTTTCTAAGATTCGGGAATTTGGAGTGTGTTCTCTCCCTACTTTCCCCACCCTGTTTCCTTAGTGAACATGATTCGAGTCACTGTTCCATGCTTTCTTTGTGATGGAATATTGCTACCTTGCTGATACTATTGCTGAAAAGTACATTTTATGTGTTGATATGAGCTGTTTTTAACAAAACTAGATGAACTCCAAATTGCTGACTTTTAAGGTCACTGTAGTCTGTGTGATCTGGCTATGTTATGTATATCTTTAAAGCAGTCCTATCATTTGGACATATGTGGAATCTCAAGGCTGAAGACAAAATTTTGCTGTCAAATTTTTCTGTCATCTGTAAATCCTCCTAATTATCTATTATTTAATCTTTTGTGTACTTGAGTCTAAAGGAATAGTGGCCATCTTTATATTTTTTTTAAGATTGCTTATTATTATCTTTGCATCTTTATACAAATTATTCTGCCTTGTTTACGAAGGCTGTTGCTGCACTTTTGGTGGTGTTTTCTATGGGTTATGTTGGCATAATGTTCAATAACGATAAATGCACATGACTAGACATGTCTACACCTATATAAAGTGAAGATTGTTTCCCTTCAACTTGTATTTCCTACCATCCCTTTAGTTGTGACTTTAAAATTCTACCTAGTTCTGAACTCCTCTTTCACTCTTAGTATACTGACAGTATCCGCATCCAAAACTGCCACAGTCTCTGTTGTTTTGTGCAACTGATCACAAACTTTCCTCAAGGAAAAGTGATGGGGTTTCAGTTTTACAAATATAAAATGTGCACACATAAGATGATTATACTGTATTTTATAACATTGCTTATGTTGAATTTAATTATAGAATTCAAATGTTACATGTAAAATATTTTAAGTGACTTTGTGTTTAGTATTACCTGTATATTACTTGTGACATACAAGATGAGGTAAGACTGTTGAGTCACTGTGAATATATTTACATTATATGCAGCACCCGTATTAAAACCTATGGTTAAACCTGTGTGCTCAAGCTTCCATCTACTGCAGAGCTTGACGGACTCTAATTGCTGATAGTAAATTCAGTTAATTTGGGTGAAATTACTGCTTTGGTGGTTGCAGATACACTCCCATGTTTTCATCCTTGTAGCTTGTAGCATCAAATCACTTCTGAACCAAAAAGGATGTAAAATCCTTTTCCAGACCTCTGCATGTGAACTTTGTTCATTACGTTTTCAGTTTGTGGAGGAATTGTTCATGTGGTGTGACAACAAGGCATTTCAAAATCAATCCTGTCATGTGTTTGCACCCTGCATTTTAATGTGCTGAAGTACAAGGAGGGTGTCCACTTTGATGTGAAAGGCTTTATTTCTCATGATCTAGTACTGTGAAGTTTCACAGTTTCTTCTTGTCTTCTTAGAATATGTAATTGTTACAAAGGAGACTATTTATCACTTGTAGACATGGATATACTCACAGAGGTCAAATTATGTAGGCTGGAGGCTGAGAGATTGTTGAAGTGTGAAGAGTGAGATGAAGACTGGAGCCTTGGAAAGACGTTCAGAAATGAATAATTCTTTGTCACCACAATACTTAGATTTCTGTAAGATAACTGTGGGTTATTGAATAATTGTTTGAGCTTTGACAGTAGCAGTTACAGAGAGCGAAAAAACCAACAACTAAAGTCCCCCAAAATCCCCAGACTTCTGTCGTTTGTGCAGTCCAGAGCCAAAGACACTCAAGAAGAATGGGCATGCAGAAAATGCACGTCTCTCTTTGCTTTAGTGCTCTATGCAAGCTAAATATGCATGTGGAGGATGCAGAAGACAATTCTCTACAAACTTAAACCACTAAGACTACTCTCTGAAGCTTGATGGGAAAACTAACTTTGGTTGTAAACCTTTTGTTTACGTTCACTAAGAGAATTTCAGTCTGTCATATATGATACCACATGGAGTGAGGATTCATGTGCTTTTTTCCATTCTACTGGCAAAACAGTAATTTCACACATTTTCAGTTACTTCTCTCAGTCGTGCATAACTGCATCTCACAATGAAACAATCTACAAGCTTCTATTTTTCCAGATACATGAAGAAATGAGACTTAACAAGGCCAAGTGCCAGGTCGTCCACTTGGGTCACAACAACCCCAGGCAGTCCTACAGGCTTTGAGAAGAGTGGTTGGAAAGCTCCCTAGTGGAAAAGGACCTGGGGATGTTGGTTGATAGGCGGCTGAACACGGGCCAGCAGTGTGCCCAGGTGGCCAAGAAGGCCAATGGCATCCTGGCCAGCAACAGGAATGGTGTGGCCAGCAGGATTAGGGCAGGGATTCTGCCCCTGAACTCGGCACTGGTGAGGCCGCACCTCGAACCCTGTGTTCAGTTTTGCACCTCTCACCCCAAGAAAGGCCTCGAGGTGCTGGAGCGTGTCCGGAGAAGGACAACAAAAAGCTGGTGAAAGATCTCAAGAACAAGTCTTAAGAGCAGCTGCTGAGGGAACTGTGATTGTTGAGCCTGGAGAAAAGTAGGCTGAGCGGAGACATAACTGCTCTCTACAATGACCTGAAAAGAGGTTGTAGCAAGGTGGGAATTGGTCTCTTCTCCCATGTGGCAAGCTATAGGACAAGAGGAAGTGGCCTCGAGTGTGCTGGGAGAGGTTTAGGTTGGACATTATGAAAAATTTCCTCACTGGAATGGTTGTCAAGCATTGGAACAGACTGCCCAGAGAAGCAATTTGAGTCAGCATCCCTCAAGATATTTAAAAGAGACATAGATGTGGCGTTTAGGGGTATGATAAAGTGGTTGACTTGGCAGTGCTAGGTTAATAGTTGGACTCAAAGATCCTAAGGATCTTTTTCAAACTAAATGATGCTACTAGTATCATGTGTATTTTACAAAGAACTTTTATTTTTTTACTATTCTCTGACATGGCTGTACTGTAGTCATGTGAGGGACTAGGTTTTGTCTTTCCTCAGTTTTCATACAATGTACTGTTTCTCTCCATCTTTTGATCTGTGAATTTGGATGTTTTTGTCTCTTCACCGGGTTTCCTGATGTATTCACTCTGTAGCTAGATGAATGCGCAGTACCTGCTGCTTCTACCTTATTTAAGTCTCATTTATCCCCATGTTTTTAAATTTAGTCACCTGTTTAATGATTTTCACTTAAAATAAGTTGTAAAACTTCCATGTAATGTATGTGCATACAACAGCATGACCAATGAATTTAAGGAAAAAATTCTGTGTGTCTTGTATTTCAGGCTGCAATATCCCCTGTGCTCTCAGCACCACATTTATCGCAAGGTGTGTTTCCTGTTTTGGATCTTCATTCATTTGCTGAGTCAGGTAATACAATCTATTTTTAAGTCTGATTTATTAAACAAGTTAAGTTTTTAGTTCATTGATATAATTTGTTTGTCTCGGAGTAAGTGACCATTTGTGACTTTGTTACAAGTTCTTGTTTGTTGAGTAGTGATATGTTGGCTAATTATAATTCACTCTGCACAAAATATTTGTGTGTTTTCTAATAGCGGTAAAATTCTTTATGTTTGTTCTTGATGTTCGTTTTCTGAAAGCAAGGCAGTAAGATGTTTGTTTGGTAGGATGGGTTTGTTATGTCTGTCTTTGCATTGCTACTACAGATCACTATTCAGAGTATCTGAAGCAATATGTAGGCAGTTTTTGTGCTTCAGTGTGTACTTACTCCTCTGGCTTTAATTATTTTCTTCTGGTGAAGGATTTCTCTCCTACTTGGTTGGTTTTATTTAAATTGCAAAATACTGAAATGATGGCTGCTAGAAACTACTGTGTTGTTATAAACATACATAACTTTGACTTCTACAAGATTAAAAAGAAGATTGGCTGTGGAGAAACTCTTCATGTTTAATACTGCCTTGCTGTTCAGACAGCTTGGCTAGATTGTTTGAAAAATAATCAAATATTTAAGTGTTAGACGTGTTTGTTATGCTGAAACAGCTGGAGAAATAGAGAACAATGCTTTTTCTTCTGTCTCAAGTTAATGGTAGCATGGTTTGCAAGCACTAGTGAAATTATCAGAAAAGTTATTTTTTCTGTCTGCTTTATCACTTGAAATTCACTGTGTGTGCAGTATGTATAGAAATACAGGTCTGTGCATCTTGTGTTTTTCCTGTGGTTCCTTGAAGTGCCCAAAGGCAGAGAAGTGTCTTTCAAATTTTGAAGATTGGGATGAGAGCAAACACTGGCAACAATTAATTTGACAAATCAATAACTAGCTTTAGATCTGATCAGGTCTGTTTTATAATTTATGCATATAGATCTACAGTCACTTTAAGTGATTCATGTTATTTATCTTCACACCTCAGACTTGGGAATGCTATCAAGCCTTAGAAAATACTTCTTAATATCATTTATTCATTTTTGTCAGAAGTAGGGTGCTTCTTCCACAGTTATCTTGAACCTAAGTGTTCATAGGTTTTAGGTGAAGTAAAAGACCCTTGTAAGATGATCCGATCTATCTGTCTAGGTTATACATCTGTAATAATGTCAGGTGGATTAAAAGCTTGATAAGTCCTTAAGAGTCTCTCTTTGAAATGGGAGATTTTTAGCAGGGAAAGATCAAAAGTAGTGCAACTGATAGTGAGGCAAAGGTTTCTGTACGGTCAGCAGCAGGCAGACCATCAGAAGAGTTACTAAGCTAGTCGTACACACTGAAGGCATGAGAAAAAACATATTTTGTGCTGTCCTTTGCACAGCCAGTAGTGACAGAATGCTGATGGAGTTGAAGAGAACTGATACATGATGACGTAGTAGAGGGAATTGTTGATGTGGTAAAAAGCTGTGGAAGCAGGAGTGGGATATAATTATAGAAACAGACTTCGCTTGCTAATTGTCAGCTAAGTAATCTTCCCATAGTTGTACATTAAAATTTTTATAGATTTAGACCTAACAGGTCATCATACTCTAAAATATTTTGCTTTCTCAAATGTGTATGTAAAATTTTTGTGAATTAATCCTTAGAATCAGAAGAAGAATTCTATGATGCTCTAAGCAGTCCTGTGGAAGACATGCCATTTTTTGAAGCCTCATCCGTTTCCCTCAAGCGAGCTAGCAGTACGAGGAGAAAAAAACTACATAAACAAGAATCTCTGAAAAATATGACAGAATTCCAGCTAAGGTTTGAAGTAGCAGAGGTAAAGTTACTTTTTCTTTATGATAATTATTTTTCTGAATCCTAGCTGAACTATAGTTATGTCCTGTGTTTTGTGTTTGTGAATCCATGTCTGCAGAAGTATTGTTTCCCCATTTCTTGCCAAAATGTTTCTGTAGATTTTGGTTATTTGTTTTTTTTTCCCAAGTAACAGTTGTGCTGTTGCATCCTTGTCATCACTGGAACGCTTTGATTTATTTCCCATGTAATTGTATCACTGGATTTCCTTTACCTGTCACTCAAAAATACATCATGCAATACATGCAATACATGATTTGGCTTAAGATACAGCTTTCGACATCTCTTTTCCAGATACTCATGTGGTCTCTGGCAAAACTTCATTAACATTTTGTTGTGTAAAAAGCACCCTATTTTTCTGCTCCATTTTTTCCCAGACTCTTTTGGCCTCAAGCCTAAACCTGTAATGTATTCATTATGAGGTATTCTATGTGATAATCTTGCTGGTTTAGACTTGAGAGGAAAAAAAACCAGGATGTTTTACCCAAATCCAAGATAGTGTGTCTACAATATTAAACAGAAGCTTGACTTTGGAGAAACTGGTCATGTTGAATATTGCATTGCTGTTGCAACAGCTAGCTTAATTAGATTGTAACATTCCATATAGTAGTTACACTTGAAAAATAATCAAATATATCAATGTTATTTAATTGTCAATCACCTTTGTCATGCCAAAACACACAACAGTTGGTCTAGTAAAAAATATGATCTCTTACCACTATTTGTAAAGTTATACAGTGAATATACAGTGAATAGTAGCAGTCTTATTGCTGCTGTTCACTGTATAACTTTACAAATAAACCATAGAAATTCAGTTAACTTTACAAATTCTGTTTTAGGGTGGGGCTTACAGAATGACTTCAGCACATCTTAGTTACTTGCAACATGTCTAACTATATGCTACACGTTAAAGAAAATACATAATTAAAACTGAAATATACTGGACTTTGTGTGTTGACAAGACCTTTTTTAAGAGCTACTGGTTTAAAGATAGGTGCTGTATTTTACATTATTCTTTAATGGAAATTATCTTATAATCTATAAGAAAAAAGTGCAATTGATAATCTGTTAAGAATCACCCCTGGTTTTGTTGGCTTTATAGTTTAAAATTACTTATTTGGACTGGTTTTGATTTTCCCTATTTGTAAGGAGCATTATGTGAAAAGGAAAAGTACATATTCTTGTTTTGCTCTATCTGTGAAAGACAGAGAACAACAGCTCAGCTAGTTATTTATTTAATGATATCTTTGTAATGCAGGGCTGAAACAGTTTGAAATCCTCTTGCCTGATATTCAGCTTGGGAATCTAAGTCTTACCAGGAGAGCTCAAAAAAATTCCAGTGAAAGCACTAAACTCTTTATGCTGACTGAAAGTCTAGTTTTGACTCGATTGAACGTTACAAAATGCTTTACAGTGTTATTTTTAAAAATAAATTAGTTCATGTAAGTGTAACCTAGGTATTTGAAATATTTATTAAACAGTATTATAGCAATTTTACTTGTTGAACTGTTTGTTGTATGTCCAGGTGAACAGCAGGATGCCCATGAGCCAGCAATGTGCCCTCGTGGCCAAGAAGGCCAATGACGTCCTGGGGGGTTTTAGAAGGGGAGTAGCTAGTAGGTCGAGAGAGGTCCTCCTGCCCCTCTGCTCTGCCCTGGTGAGGCCTCATCTGGAATCTTGTGTCCAGTTCTGGGCCCCTCAGCTCAAGAGAGACAGGGAACTGCTGGAGCGAGTCCAGCACAGAGCCACAGAGATGATGAAGGGAGTGGAACATCTCCCTTCTGAGGAAAGGCTGAAGGAGCTGGGTCCCTTTAGCTTGGAGAAGAGGAGGCTGAGGGGTGACCTCATTAATGTTTATAAATACGTCAAGGAGGGGTGTCAGGAGAACGGAGCCAGGCTTTTTTCAGCGACATCCAATGACAGGACAAGGGGCAACGGGTACAAGCTGGAACATAGGAGGTTCCACAAAAACATTAGAAAAAACTTTTTCACTGTGAGGGTGCCAGAGCACTGGCACAGGCTGCCCAGGGAGGTTGTGGAGTCTCCTTCTTTGGAGACAATCAAAACCCACCTGGATGTGTTCCTGTTTGACCTACTCTAGCAAGGAGATTGGACTAGATGATCTTTTGAGGTCTCTTCCAACCCCTAACGTTCTGTGATTCTGTGAAATGATAATACACATTGACCAGTAAAATTTATATAAGTGTAAAATACTGTGTAAAATCTCTACAAGGATAATGCTGTACCTTTTTTTTTTTTCTTCTTTTCGTATGGTTGTTTGGACTTTTTAGGTCTTAATTAAATTATGCCGTCTTATTGGTACTACTGAGACACCTGTGCTGCAGCTTGATATTGTGGGCTTAGGCACTGAACTTAAATTAAGAACATTTGACATGACTGCAAATGCTTTCCTTCGTGAAGTTTGTCTGCTGTGCCCGGAGTATATGGGTAAGTATTTATGGTCTAATCAAAAAAATATTCACAGATAACACTGTGAATTTATTTTCAAAAGACCTCTAAAGCTTTCTTCTGTCAACTGGGGAAGTTTCGCTTCCTAAGTTAAATGTGAGGGAGGGGGATGGGAAAAGTAATTCAGGAGCTCATTCTCTTAGTAATGCAGTGGTAAATACATTCTAGTGCTGATGATTTTCGTAGTGACACTTAACTATTTGAAGTCTACAGAAGAGATTTTGTGATTAAATAGTAATAACAGCTAATAGTCTAGTTTGTAGATGAATAGGAATTGTAGAAAACTTGTCAATTTTTTTCTTTTCAAAACAGTTTGAGTTTTTTATTATTATTCTGTTGGGTTTTTTTAGATGATAATGACAAGCCAGTTTACATAATTACTACTTTGGATAATGTGGAAGATGATCTTCTCACTCTGGAGTACATAAAGGTGAGAGAAGAGCAGGCTTTGCTTTTGAATTGTAAGCCAGTCATAAACTTTGCAGTATTACTGAGGAATTGTTGAAGGTTTTTGCTTAATTGTTTATTCTTTAATATACTGAATGTCATGTGCAAAGTCTGCTCCCTGAACAGATTAACTACATCTGAAGTAGTAGTTTTTTTTAAAAATAAATTCCCTCTAGTGAAATCTTCAAACTTCTCTTGGGTTGTTTTACATGCACTTTTGGTGGAATAGGCTGATATTAACGGACCAGAACTGAAAACTGCCTATCAGAATGTTCTGCAGAAAATAAAGGTATGATACCTTTTTTTTTTTTATCATTATTTTCTCATTGTGGGAGAAGAGGCATATTCGATAACCCATAATGTGTTCTTTCAGGTGAACTTTTCATCTCTAGATATTCATTTGCATACTGAAGCTCTGCTGAATGCTATGAACTATCTGAATAATCTCCTACCCAAACAAGAAACTAAAGTTGCAGAAGAACCGGTCCATGAAAAAGTAGAGGAGAAGAGGGACGTTCTAAAGAAATTAAGTACGTTTGTTTATTCTTTTTTTTTTTTCCCTATTTTCTATTTTTGTAAGCCTGCCAATGACTTTCAAAATAAGAAACAACTTCATGACTGTTTATAATTTCAGTGGTAATAAGAATTTTATCTATGAGAGTACTATGAAGGAACAAGGATATACTCTGATTCCCTGAGTGGGAATACTTACTACTGACATATAGTATGTATGGGGGAGGGAGTAAGGCACTTTGTGATATGCACATTCATGATTATCTTCGTTGGCGTCCATGGGAGATAAGCTATGAGGCAAGGCCATCCTCTCCTTGCAAGACTCCTTCCCTCATGCATATATGGTGCCAAGGCTCCTTGAGGCATCTAGTTCCTGCTTAGCCTTATCTGCTCTTCATACCCCTCTCCTGTATTCCATTTGGCACTTTATCAGTTTGCCACACAGGGCTAGAAACCAGTCTCATTTTTGCAGGTGATCTGTTCTGTAACAAGCTGGTGGTTTGTAATGGGCCAAGAAATGTTTAAGGCAAACATTTGCACACCTGTCCACTACACTTTCTTCCCAGGATCAAAATATTTTTGTTGATTTAGGTTTGCAACCTGTAGATAGGTATCCACGTAGCCATTTATTGATGTGAAGACCTTGGCAGTAGACATAAGTACAAAATATACACTACTGCAGTTCCTAAGCCTCAGGACACTTTTGGTTACTGGTAATATACTGATTTGTTGAATGGCTGAAATCTGTTTGGCACCAATTTTGTAGGAAAAATATGTTGGAGTTGTGACTTTGGGTTTATGAACTAGCACATTAATTCAGATGTACCTTCAAGTGTAATAAATAGGAAGTCCTTTCATGGTGAAAAATGGCTTGAGCATTTTCAATCTTTTGTTATAAAAATCTGGCAGTAGCATTCATTAATATTGATTACTGTATTTTCACATGAGTAGAACATAAATCCCTGAAATTTGGGAGAAATCTGGTGAGCCTTCTCATGTTTGTCAGAAGTATCTGGTACTCTGTAGGTACCTGGTTTCCATTTACAATTCCTGGCGTTCCTTGGCCTGCAAAAGCATTAGCATTGTTGCATTGTATATGAGGAACATTAATTTGTTGTAACGTGCTTGCCATGCAGCTTTGTCATTCTCTGACCAAGAATTTGGCAGATCAGATTTGTTGATAATGTGCAAATGAACAGATCACCTCCATTTTTTGATCATGTGTCTGAGAGCTACTTTGAAATGAATGCTGCTGTTAAATGCTCAACATTTGGCCAGTGATGTTCACTTCTGCTTTCAGAGAACTTATTTGAGATACTTGCAATCGTTGCTTGCTGTTAGTCATAAAACACTGAGGGTTCAGATAGTTATCAAAACAAAGGAAAAAACATGCACATAAAAATTATGGTAGAAGGTAATTCTCAAGATGGTTTTACTTTTGAGGTATTGTAATACTTGCTCTTCAGGGAACTACTGAAATGGATAATGTAATGACTGAGCTAGCCGACTTGCTGGTACATTGGTGAGAACGTCCTCTAGTCACTGATGTTAGTTCTTACAAGCATTTTGAGTGAACTTCATTAACAATTTGGTGTCTTTAAACCCCAGGTATCAAAGGTGCGACGTCTGGTGAGAAAAACAACAGTCCGAGTCTCATGTATACTCGTATTCAGTGCTTAATTCACAGCCTACTCCTTAACAACAGCACAAATTAAACTTTAGCTGAGTGTAGTTACTGGTTAGTTTATCATGGCTTGTCTTCTGTTAGCAACATGCAATAAAATCATGTTGACTGAAGCTCTTGTATTTATGGATCCATAGCTTGATTGTGAGAGTTGAGAAAGGCTTAACATACACACAATACTTAAAGGTAATATCTCATCTGAAAAGCTAGGCTGTGGAAAAAATTGATTGGAAGGTTATTACTTTTTAATTTTATTCCTTTTAGCTTCGTTTGTAGACTAACTATAAGAATTTACCATTTAGGACTCAAAGTCCTTGAATATAACGTATGATATTTCCCTTTCTTGTTTGAGGTAGTGTATAATGTTACTTCAGATTTGACTTTCATAAAAAATGGACTAAGTTATTGGCTGAGTTCCTTATCTGTTGACTTCTGTATTTAGCACTGTGCCAGCAGATAGTGTTGTGTGGCACCAGCCATGTCCACTCAAAATGAGCAGAGATTGTTTCGGTTAACATGAAATAGAATATTTTTACTCTTACTCAGTTTTGGGAAAACCAGAAATGGACTACATATTTTGGCAGTTCCTCTTTGAAAGGTACTATATGTGTTCTTTTACCTTTGTAGGTCTTAAGGTTACTCATATTCATTTTGAAGGATGCCCACTGTTCCTTCTCTTCAATGTCTGGTTATATTAGTAGTATTTTCACTTTTAAAATTTAAGTTTAGAAAATACAGATTGTGGAGATTTAGTAGATTTAGTAAAAAGTCACTTACCATTCTAAACAAGACAATTGATTGCAGAGGACTGATCAACAGACCAGATAAAGTAGTCCATTAATGTAGCTGTCGTGTTGCCAGTTTTTAAGGTAAACTGGTAAGTCCTGAATAACCTATCTCTAATTTTGCATTGTGCTATGTAGGTGTATATTATATGGTTTTTTGCAGTTAATAAAATACTGATGTAGATTACCACAGTTAGTGAAGCACATGAGGACTCCTTTATATACAATCTTTTATATACAGTTCCTTTGTGTGATACTTACTGGTATGAATGCAGTGCATTTTGCCAGTGCTGCAGGCTTGTTACAAACTAGACTTTTGAGAAGGGGTGCTAAAATAGCACATCTCCTTGAAGAACTGTAATTTTTATTACTTTGTGTTTCCCACAGCATCTAAAAAATCGAAGTATGAAGATGTTATCGACCTCAACATCTGTGCAGATTTATCCTGTTTACGCATCTTCATTAGAGAGAAAAAGCATAGAATAGCTGAAATTCACATTGAAGGTAGGAACAAAACTTTAATCCCAAAGCCACAAAATTTTGTAACCAGAGTAGTCTCTAGATCTTCTATTTTTGGTGTGGTGTTTTATTTTTTAAGGTCTGGATAGCCAAGTCATCATGAAGAAAGCAGCAACAGAAGTGACTGCTAAATTAAAGAATATCATTATTGTGGATTCTGATGAACTGGCATTGTATAAAAAGGTACACATTTACATGTATCGTTGATTTCTGAATGGATGCTATATTGAACTTACGTTGTGAACTCTACACTTTCACTGTGGCTTATTTTTTCTAAATAATGTCTTATGTATTTACTGGAAGCATTGTTCTCTATAAGCAGACTGATTTTACCCCCAACTGGTGGTTGTTAGACTGACACTGATTTTGTGCAGCTGTGATGCTGAGATTCCAACTGAATATTTTCACCTATTTCAGTTATATTTTTTTCTATTTATTGCTAAGATAATTGAAGTAAAAGTGTTTTGGAAGTGTGAGATAGTGCATCTTATTTTGGAATTCAGTTTCTCCAGCATAAGTTTTATACAGTAGAGAGGTACTCTTTTATTTTTTTTTTTCTTCCTAAGGCTCTTTACATCACAGGAAAAGAAGTCTTCAACTTCAGAATGGTATCATATGTGAATGCTACAGATGGCATTGCATATACAAATATGGATGTTGTTGACAGTCGTATTTACTTAACTGTTGGATGTATTCAAGTAGTTTTTGTCAACAAGTTTGTTTCATCTATTTTGGTAAGTTAAATTTTACAGATACTGTTCCTTAGCATTCAGATAACAGTTTCAGAACTAGAAAAGGATAAAACATTCCATGGCCCTCTTCTTTAGGAACTTTATACGCTTTTATCAGAACTGCACTCGGGTTGGTGGTTTTTACTATTTACTATTCTTCTATGGTAGTAGCTATTTACTATTCTTCTCCCTATGTTTATTGTTGTGAAGTGTGTGGCTAAGCAATATTTACTGTTATTGCTAGTAATTTTTTTCTTTAAATGGCTTGTGGCAGTTTTTAGATATACAAGTTGTTCATTGTTTATAGCATTGAAATATAAATAATAAACCATGAAACTTAATGACTTTTCTATAAATTCTGATAACTAAATCTATTTTTTACACTTCGTATGAGTAAATAAAAAGCAATTTGTACAAGTTGTTTTACAAAGGTCATTGCTGTTGCCATCTGATTTGCCAGATACTTAGTATGGGAATTTATATATATATATATGCATACTTTATCCTATTTTGGGGAGAGATTATTATTAAAAGAACTATTAAACTATTAATTACTATTAAAAGAACTCAAAGTGTGTAGCAAAAATAGTATCTTAAGTTGGCTTGCTATCAAAAACTATGATTATTAATGTTTTTGAAGAACTGTAATTCTTCATAATTCTTCATAATAATGTATTCTTTTCCTAGGCTTTTATAAATAACTTTCAAGCTGCCAAGGAAGCTCTTACTGAGGCAACTGTTCAAGCAGCAGAGAAAGCAGCTACAGGTGTAAAAGAGCTGGCAGAGCGTAGTTCCCGTTTGGCACTGGATATCAATATTAAAGCACCAGTTGTGATAGTTCCACAGTCAGCTATGTCTGCAAATGTCCTGGTGGCTGATCTTGGTCTAATTACTGTGAAGAACCAATTCTTTATTGCTAAAACAAAAACACGGTATAATCTCCCACCTGTTGTTGATTCTATGACGGTGAAACTGAGTGAACTAAAGCTATACAGGTAATGTAGTATCAAGGGGTTTTTTTTAATTGATGCAATCTTTTTGGAATGCTTTAGCTTTGAGAAGTTAGTATCAGTTAATCAAGGGTTGGTGCTTGATGGGTGCATTATTATCTTGAAATATAACAGCAAATTAATAAGATTTTATAAAAGCAAATAGAATGTAGATTTAGGAGAAATAGTAATCTACACAACTTGAAGTAGAAGCAAATGTTTTTTTAGGGAATCTTGTGTGGAATCTTTCACACTTTGGCACAGGTTGTACCCATTTTGATGAGGTGTTCAAGCTATGCCTAGGAGGAAAGATACCAAGTCAGATAGCGATGAAAAAGTGTTTGAGAATGGCTCCTGGTGCAGGTGGTTAGGAGAGGGAGAGGGACTGAGATTTTCAAACGCAGTTGAAGAGTACTGAAGAAAGAAGGAATCGCTCTCCAGTGGAGAGCAGGTAAGAGGTCCTTACTTGCAAAAAGTTAATGCTGTGTGCCTGTTATGTGCCTTGTGCTTGAGAAAAGGTATCTCATTGGTGGAGCAAGGCTTTAACTAGAGATAGTGGGTGTGGTTAGAGGACTGCTTTACAATACTAATCACAAAGATGATCAAAAGACAGAAATGTATTTGTGTATGTTAGAATGTCTAAGTCATGTATGTCAAGCTGGGGCCATTTTGTTTCTGTTTACAGATCATGCTATGAGCAGGGTTCATTGCAAACTGAAGTACAGTTGCTACAGCCGCTCAATCTGGAAGTAGCTGTTGAGCGAAATTTAGCTGCTGCATGGTATAATGAAGTTCCTGATATTGAAATATCTGGACGACTCAAGCCTATGAATGTAAGCACTCGTTTCTGAAATCAGCTGTTAAAATATTTGTGTAAGATGCATTGGTTTTTCTGTTCATAAAAGTCAAAGTGCCTTGTTTTGTTGTTGTTTGATTTCAAGACATAGA